AAGACAATTCCACACCATGACAAGTGCAACTGTATGTTCCTATAATGTTTACTCTGGCCTCTGCTCTTTCGCCTTTGCATGCGCTAAGTGGACAGGCCGTTATGTGCTCGAGGCTGAGTGAGCGTCCCCGATAGACCGCACAGACAGCTCTATCCACTCGCGCCAGTTCAGATTAAATTGGATTTGGCTAAAAGCGGGCTTGTCAGCGCGCACTGGAGAGGCTGAGTGGCAGAGGGGGCCTTCTTGGCACTCGGAGATGTTCGTAGTTTGACAAACAAATGAAGGTGAGGATGAGGAGCAGCTGAGCCTTGCTGCGTTCTGGGGCAAGATACTAGACATAATCACATGAGAGCATAGAGGATGGATTCGGAAATTGGATTAAGCCAATTTAAAGCAGTTTTTTTTTGTTGCTACAGAAAGTATTTTGGGAAATCAAAAAACAGCAAGCTGTCTTTATCATATCAGAACCCAATTGGTCCTTTTACATACTGCGAGCTGATTGGCTGAGAGAGGGCTGAAAATACAAAAATACATTCATGTGAAAACTAGAACCAAATAGTTTTGAGAGTTACAAGTTAAAGGGATTGTATAGTTATAGATATTTCAGTTGGAGGTCATGTCCAAATACAAGGAAGCATATTTTTAAAGAAAGAAGAATTTTCTCAGTTGCCCTTCACAACATTTCATCGAGCTGCTATTTTCACATTGTGGTGATGTCACACGAACGCAACACTATTACGTAGTGCGGTTTTCTTTCAACTTCGCAAACGGACAAAAACAAGATAATTTAGGCCTCAATATATATCGTCGAGCTTTTTGTTTGTAAAAGTGGAGAGATTTTAACTTTTTTCATTTGAACAATAATCTTTTATCTGTAGAGAATTCAATATAGTTAAATGCTATCACAATGGTTATATTCTTAGCAAATACTTTTCAATCAAATTAATAAATTGTTGTTTATGACTTCTAATTTTATAAAACAATGTGATGGCTATACATTTTTTTCTTGTGACAGGCCAGTTCCCCCAATCCCAAATCCAGTTTTTGCATCAGCCTCCAGCTCAATCACGAATTACTTTTTTATTTTTTTATAAATATACAGTATCCTATTGACCTTTTTGTCTGCTCATTTTGTATTCACCAGTTGTAATAACGTGGACACAGAGAACCAAGAACATGACAAAGGACAGGAACATGACGACAGCAGAACTTATTTTTTAAAACAAACAAAACACAACTTTTGCCAATGACCATGAACTGGACAAGACTATACAGTTTCTCTGCAGTTATGGGACAAAGTAGCTCAGTGCTGGTCCTTGTGCTATTATACTATTTTATGACGTTGCGCCATTTTCTTTTCTGAAAGTGTTATAATAAATGGAATAAAGATCCAATGTGTTTCAGTGTCCATTCTGCAGCAGTAAACACACTTGTGGGTCAGGCTGAGGACACAGGGGACACTCGGCATTCCCTCCGTGAAGCCTTCAAGTGGTGCGTTTAGAGCCTCAGAAAACATGGGAAAAGGAGCTGCTGAAGAGGATTTCACGCCTCCGTCATGGCGCTTCATAAAAAAACACTGCACTTTTGCTGATCACTGTTCAGCCCAGACTTTCCCTGGATTTTCTGCCTTTTTCTGACCACACTTTAACAGCGACAAAGTGGACAACAGCCATTTTCAGATGTTTTTTATCGTTTATAACAAGCATTTATTAAAGGTGCATTGTGCATCTTTTCATGTGAAAAAATTAAGTTTGTAAGTTGTCAAATTTTTCAAGATTAGTGCCGTGCTATCTAAGATGGTATTTAGTTTTTTAGTATCCAAATGTTAATAGTATTGTGACAAGTCTATTCCAAGACAATCTAGTTAATAATCATGTTACAGCACGTTAAACATCCAAATCAGGGCATTGGCCGAGCGGATTCCCAAACCAGTCAAACCAATTCATTTCCACAATATTGTCACAGATGAGTCTAAGTCTAAATAAAATGTAATTCCCCTCTCCTACCACCAGATAAGAATGAAATATTCAGCCAATGTGTCATGCTTGTTATATTTTCCACTTAAGATCATTTTTCGGGGCCAAAAGGACCATCTATAATGAATAATAATTATCTTGATCCCATGCGCCTCCGAAGCACCTCAACAACTGTCCACCGTCTCCATGAAAACTTCCACATGAACACATTTTGAGTCGCAAATTGAAGCTTACAGTAAGTTCTTGAGCACTTTGCCTGAAATGGGTCATTAGCACAGCAGAGAAGGCCATTTCGCTGTCACTCCAAATGCACTCAACAACCACTCCGCACAGCTGCACACCTCCGAGTTCCCAAATACACACACACAAACACACAAGTGCACACACAAATGCACACACAAATGCACACACAAATGCACATACCAGGGTTAAAATTAGACGGGTATGAAGCTGCCAAACCCTGCCGTGATGGGGATGGTCTAAGCCTGGATTATTGCTCATCATGGCGAGGACTCAAGGCTCATCTGAAGAAGGAAGCGGCCATTACTGTCGACCAACGGCATTGTCCAAAAGTGACGCTCAGTTGGTCTGTCGGGAGCCTGGCTGATTTAGGGTTGAGATTTATGTTGCATCTATGAACTCAATTGAAAAAGGTGGTTTCACATTGTGTACTGAAACGTGTTGAAATGTGGGAAGACTGGCATGTTGTTTGGACCCATGTCAGCTTTTCACCAAAAACTTCAAACTGAGACTTTTAAAATCTCAGCACAGTGCACCCAGAACCGGAGGGAATCATATGAAAAAAATGATATGGTAATGTTATCATGACAAAATGAAAAACTTACGTATGGAGGAACAACACGTGCAAAAGCCCATTGTCTTAAACAGTTTGGCTTTATAGCTGTCTATCCAGAGACTTTATCTTATACTGATCCCGATACATTAGCCTTCAATATCTGCTGATACCAGATATAAAACTGACATCAACGAAGGGACTGGACATAATGTTTCTCTCCACTGAAATCACAGCTAACTACATTACACAATAAATATCAATATTAGATAGTAGATACAAAGTAGATAGAATAGAAAGTAGATACACTCAGTGGCTATATTTGGAGAATACAATCTAATTTGTTTTGTGGTCCACACATCAAAAACTCTGTGGGGAGGTGCTTGGGGCATGTCCTACAGGAAGAGACCCTAGAGAAGACTCAATACCTGCTGGAGGAAGGGGTATCTACTGAAACTGCTGCCCCTACACCGCTGGGGGCTACAGTTCCATTGAATGGAATGGCTCCGGCAAGGTGAAAACAGCAACTAAAAAGAGTTACTTTCCAATTTATATAATCAAATTCAATTAAGGATAAATCAACAGAATATCAACTCATTAATGTGAATAAACCTCGTCAACTTCTAACAGCTAACATTTCGATGCACATAGTGGTGTTTTTGTCTCGCACTTACAACAAGATGTACAACTAATGGAAGCAGGACCTGTTGGACACTAGCCGTGCAGACGACCGTTATGAAGCCATTAGCACAGAAGAAAGTCCAGTGAACTCTGTTGCAGCTCTTTCAGCCGACACATTTCAGACCTGTGGACATACGCGGTACATTTAGCCTCACAGCGGAGATGGAGGGACTTATTCTTAGAGCAGGCGCAAAGGTCATTAGCCGGAGGTGTGGATCCACGGTGGTCAGAGACTGCACCTGTATCGTTTTTATACACAGGCATGGCAAGATTTACTCAAAAAAAAAAACAACTGTGGTCACTTTGTCAACCTGGGTCTTAAGCTTCTGAGTGACGTACAAGGGTGCAATGATGAATGTCTAAACTTACAGATATGATTTGAGTAATTTACTGAATAAAAGTCCGCCAGGTTTCCCTCGTGTGTGCCCCCAACTGGACAATTAAAGCAGTGCACCTAGACCCAAACCTTGTACAAAACATAAATAAATAATTTGGCAATAAAAATATAAATTGAAATTATAATTAGAACATGTGATGGGAGAGTAGTAAGTATCTAAATTGGCCACAATACACACTTTGAGGAGAACATCATGAGCAAAAAGGTAATTATTCTATATGTATCTTTCTGCTTCTGTTTCTGAGTAGGGTTGAAACTGTGTGTAAATTGTATTATACTCTACATACTGGCTGAAGGTGTGACATATGCACACACATCAGTTTCTATGTCTGAATGCGCATAAATGCTGTCGACTGGTTTTATCCGTCACCTGAACCACACCTAAGCAGGGAACTACAAAATACTTGTATTGGTTGTTTGTTTGGAGTGTTAGCAAAGAACACGTCACTGAAAAAAAAAGAAAAAACAAAAGGTTGCAAGGTGGGTTATTTACAAAGTAAGTAGTGTTTGTGTATGTGCACATGTTTGTGTGCAGAGAGAATGGGCAGTCAAGTCAATCCAGAGAAGCTCTGAGTAGAGCTGCTGCTCCTCCACACCAAGAGGAGCCAGCTGTGTTTTATTTTCTTATTATTTTTATTATAGAATGCCTCCTGGACACCTGGAGGGGCTATGTCTCTCAGCTGGTTTCCTTGAAACTTTAAATTGCAAACAAAACCACTTATCTGGAGTTACATTACATACATTTTTGTGTGTTGTTTGTTTTGGTGCTGGCGCATATAAGTTTGAAAATAATGCATTCCTATACAATCATGGAATCTAAAATAGTTAAGAAATAAGATAGGGGGAAATCTCCAGTGTTGCGGTGCTCATGACATAAAGCAGACAGAGAAGAGCACCCAAGAAAATGACCATGCAAATCATAGACACAAATAAAAAAAGGCTCTTTCCCATTTCAAAAAGAGTTGGACTATGACACAGATAATGTCTGCATCTTCCACCCTCCATAACTTTATAGAAGCATAGATTCCAGTTATTTCATGATACAGACACCACCATATTCCCTCATCCTTTATTCCTGCATTTGGGTGAGGAGCTTTTGGCACGGGGCTTGTGTTGTGGCGCTTTGGATTTCCCTAAACAGCAGTAATCGTACTTCTGTGGGGAGGGATAAAGCGAGGATTGGCCGAAGCGATGGCCCAGTGCTCTGCGATAGACACGCCAAAACTCTCCGGATCCGCTACAGTGAAACCGCGCCGACCATACATTGGGCAAAGGCCCACCTGCACTGCAAAACACGACATCCTATTCAAACTACTGCTATCACCAGTTAGACAAGCTTTTTTCACTTTTTTATAACGTTTAGCTATACGGTATGCTGAAACACATACTGTAGAGGATGTATGCAGTTTTAACAATTACAATGAAGTGCAATGGTCTACATTACAATAGAGTAATAAACATGTCACTAACAAGAGTGAGGGAGATGGACACAGACCAAAACGTTTGTTACAGGGATGAGAATGGAACATTTCAAAATAGTCTGAAATCCATAATGTCATTAAATCTGTTTTATTTGTTCACAACATTTTACTTCTGGGCACAACCAACATGAGCTGTTAATATAAGGGAAAATGTAGTTACCCCAGCTTTAATTTAGCGAGTTGCGTTTTAGGAGGAGACACTGACTCTTCCTGAGGCTCTTATAATCCAACTCTTTTTTGCAGAAGTGTATTTATTGCGTGCTCAGGTTACGCAAAGACACACGCACAACAAGCAAAGAATAGTTCCGTGCATGTGTGGCTCCTGGGAACATTATGCTTTCACTACAAAGCGGCCACAGCTGCCCCGGGTCAGATCGCTGTAGCTTCAGAGGATACGGTACGTACTGCAAACAACAGCAACTGCCCCTCGGTCACACCTGCCCCCCCTCCAACAGGAAAATAAAAACCTCTATACCTAATTCATTCTGTCCTAATTTATTAATTTACCAAAATATCTTGATGAAAAAAGGTTTCCCACAAAAGCCCTGCATCCCACAGAAGATGACTCACACTGCTGCTCAGTTTTTTTTCTTTCTAATTGCTCAAATCTTCATCTAAAATCCTATGACAAGTCCTTTCAACAACAACAAGGACATTTCTTTTGTACAGTGTGAGACAGGACAATCCCTTCCACAGCTCGATCCACTGCTGAAGCTGGAGCTCTGCCTCCTGGACCATTTTAGTACTGATAGCTGAGCACTGGGCTTGGAGCACTGGGCCTCTCTATAAGACCTCCACAGAGCCTCAGCCTCCAGCACTGGGCCAAACAGAGCCTCTTCACCATTGTTTTTCCACCAGTGTGCCGTGGTTAGTGTGCCTTGAGATGTTGTTTGGTGCGTCTTGGGAAATTATGCAATATCACCAACTTGGTCAAAATAATGTGAACGAAAAATAATTCTTATACTGTATATGCTTTGCACTAATTTTCAATATAATACACTTTGATGAGGATGACTTTGTTTTGTTAATAAATGCTGCAGAGTAACATCAGTTTCAGCTGGCGGTGTGTCATGAGATTGTTTCAAGGGAAAAAGGTGCGCCACAGGTCAAAAAGGTTGGGGACCACTGCTCCACACAGCTCTCGAGCCGGAGTAGTGAGCGTGGTTCCTCTGCTGACACTAAGGGAGGAAGATTATCATGTACAAAACGTTAATGAAACCTGGATCATTCTCCTATCCAATTTCATATGACGGAACAAAACTCATGTCAATCTGAGTTCGCAGATTTTAGTGTGAAAAATAACACACCTTTTAGCATGTCTGGAAACAATGTATTTTTACTGCGTTCATGCTGCATTTGATGGATTTAAGAGCACTGGGACATGATATGCTTAAATCTGAAATGTATGAATTAGGAGGTATACAAGACATAGGAATTTATTTGCCATCTGCAGTAAAACGACATTGGAAAAACTGTGCAAGACTACTCATTAATTCAAACCCTAGTGTTGTCCTCAGATCACAATGACCAGACACTGTGAATAAAAATTGCAGACCGGTTCTGGGTCATTTAGCCCCTTTTTAGACCAAAGCTTGTTATCGACCCAAAAGAGCAATGGGTCGGAGCCAAAGGGTAGTGTTGCCGCATTTGAGATTGACCACAAATCTAATTCTTACTTTTTTCCTAAATTCAGTTTTTACTGAAGGCCTATGTATAATAGCAATGGCAAGGCAAGGCAGGGCAAGTTTATTAGTATATTCAGATTCAGACTACTTTATTTATTACATCAGGGGCAATTTGTTTGGGCAGCACATAAAAAATGTAAAACATAAAATAAATAAATAACATTTAAAAAAAAAAACCCACAGGAAATAAGCGATATGACATGAAGTGGAGCCGGATACAAACATATAAACACAACTATAGCACAATTCATACAAAAGGCAACTCAAAGTGCGGAACAAAACAAGAAACAGTCACACAAGGCGTTAAATTCATAAATAATCACAGTACATTAAAAGGAAAGATATATACAATTCTGCAGTTGTATGCACAGCTAAACAGAATTGATTCAAAAAGGTTCATTTTGTCTTTAGTTAAAATATTTGTTTTTGGTTTAGATGTATGACCTTGTTAACATGTTTCGGCTGCAGAGCTGCGAGCCATCTTCAGAACTATCACCTGCCTTGGTGACATGTCATTTATCAGCCTATGTTACTTCCTGAGTAGGCGTGGTAAACAGAAGTGTTTTTAACCTTTAAATATTGTCAGAGAAGAGGCCTGTCTCACATATTCAAGAAGATTGTTCTAGATTTTAGCAGGAATGTTATTCAAAATTGCAGTTTCAAAGTTCAAGTATAAAATTAAAGATACAAGACGCTGAAGAAGATGACAAAGTCTGGGATCGCGTCTTTAATTCAGACAGAAGACATGTTTTATTGTCGATGGTAGAGACAGCACGAACAACACGAACACAGAATGCAAGTGTATTATACAGAGCGGAGGCATGGAGACCTCCAATCAGCAGCTTCCACGGTGCCATGTAGCTTGGCCTTCAGATAGACAAAACAAGGGAAAAGTACTGGCTTCTGCACATTGATAGAATGATGAGTTTAACTTTAACAAAAGTCGCTTCAAAGTGTTATGAAATCTCACAACGCTTTGTCACATCGTCAGTTCTAATAATGTATGTTCGACACAACCATAGAGCGCAACAGTCAGCAACAATCAGCTCTCAGCCCAAAGAGGCAAATATGGTGTTAGTATTAGATAGCAATATGGCCTACGTGCAGGACTCTACAAGGACTCTGATTATTTTGACGATGATGTGACTGTCTCTGTGTGACACGTACGTCTTTCGATGTGTGACGTGACAATGACTATATAAACTGTGTACTGCCTTTATTCTTTCTGAGAGAAGGAAACAATTGAAACCACTGGAACTTGAGAGAAACTTAAATAAACTTCCAGAGTTTGGCGCACCACGATCCGTCTCTGTCTGGTTCATTCCTGACAATGGCTCACGTGAATAGATTCATTGAAATTGAATGGGTTAATTATTTCAGAGACGGTTGTTGATGATGTATGCTACTTTTTAAAACTATACTGACAGTTTGACTTTTTGTGTTTTTTGTTTAAAGCTGGGGTACAATTATATTTCACGAATAATCTATGGCATTTGTCCCAACTGAAAAAAAAACCTTGTAAAAGTAAAAGAGAACAAATCCGACCACATCAGAATATTAGAAAATATGTTATCTGTTGGATTCTTCCCTCTATGACTCTTTGGGCTGAGAGCTGATTGGCTGAGTCAGCGTGCTCCTTTGTTTTTAACTTTTCCGTCTGATAAAGCTGATCTAAAGATGTGATAGAAACCAAAAACATGAAAAAAGCTAGAGATAACAAAACAAATGGTTTTAGAGCAAGGAACTCGATAGATGGATTTTATTTTATAGTTACTTTCTTTTTTTGTTGATTTAAAATTTGAAAACGTAATTTTGAAAAACTCTTTTGACGGCTGCCAAATTAATGCAATTCTGAAAAATTGCCCAAAAAGTTTCAGGTTTTTACTACTATTAAAATGCATATGTTTTTTGTTAATATAAATGGGATACAGCAAAACTAAATGCAAGCTGTGTGTTGTCATGGTAACCAGCACTTGTTCTGAACCAGTCTAGGATCAAGATTATTTCAATGTTATTACTGTAAGTTTATGAAATTAACTACATACTGAAAAAGTCTGAAAAGTTATGCTGACCAAAAACGGAGAAATTACACTTCCAAGGCGAAAAGCCGTCGAATTGACTGCTCTGGGAGTTCTCGTGTTAAAGCTGAACATACAGTACTATACTGTACTGACATTCATATAAAGGTTACTTCAGAGATGATTTTCTTGTGGTGGAAAAAGAAGATTTTTTTCCCAACACTAAGCTAACAAACCTCAACAGCTCTAAAGCTCTTTATGCTAATGGTGAAAAGTTTGGAGAGATTGTTCCCACTGCGTCTTGTTAGATGAAGAGTGCTTATTTGTGATTTTAAAACGATGCCGGCCCAAACATGCAAATGCGAACAGCCAACCCCAAGCCTCATTAGTGAGTTTATATATGGTTTTCAGTAGAATATTTTAAAGACAGTGAGATAAGCATGAGTCCAAGATTACAAGTGAATGCGTGTCACAGTGTTTAAGGTGGAAAATATATGGGATGCGGTTGAAAAATAATCATTCGTTTTTACGTTTGAATACAAGCATTTTATCAGTTAGTCGTGTTTCACACTAAAAGTTACGATGGGGACTCATTACTATAACGAGTCTGAAAATGTTTGTATCCATATGTTTTCCTTCCTGTCCCCCACATCAGTGAGTCTCAGGTTTCAAATAATAATGAAGTTTGGTTTCTGAAAAATGTTAAATATTGAATATTTTTACTAAATATTTATAAGCATTGAATAATACTAAAAAGTTAAAATGATGACCAAAACAAGTAGCTTTTGTTTACTGTACTGTAGTTAGTGCTTGTGCTTCACAGCAAGAAGGTCTTGGGTTCAATTCCACCTCCAAGCCTGTGTGTGGTGTTTGCTTGTTCTCCTTGTGTCTGCAGAGGATTGTGAATTGATTGTCAGGGCTGATACTGTAAAGCGCTTTCTCTGTGAAATTTACTATATAATTAAAGATTACTCATTTAAATTTAGTAAGCAGATACAAATACATATCAGAAAAAGTTAATTTGTCTTAGAGTTTAGAAGATGATTCAAATAAATTGTATATATTTAAATTATATAAAAGT